ATTATGAGAATAAAGCCATAAAATTACAAGAATAAAGTCATAATAATACAATTTTATTCTCAAAATATTATTTTCATATGACTTTATTTCGTAACATTATGACTTCTCTTAATTTTACTTCTTCAATGTTTTATTTTTTATTAGCATGGCCCTAATACTCGTCATCATAAGTTTACCTACAGTGGCTTGCAAAGGTTTTCACAGCCCTTGTTTGTGACATTGCAACCACAAACATGAATGTATTTCATTGGAATTTAATGTTAAATTCCAACACAAAGTGGTATACAATTGCGTAGCACAAAGAAAATTATACATGATTCAAAACATAGTTTTACAAATAAAAGTTTGAAAAATGCGGCATACAAAAGTATTCAGCCCCCTTTTCTGTGAGTTAGGGTTAGGGTATGTCGCTTCAGAAGTTTCCTGATGCCTGCTAATGACTGAACAGAGTCAGCCTGTGTACAGGTCCTTCTCAAAACATTAGCATATTGTGATAAAGTTCATTATTTTCCATAATGTAATGATAAAAATTAAACTGTCAGATATTTTAGATTTATTCCACGCCAACTGAAATATTCCAGGTCTTTTATTGTTTTAATACTGATGATTTTGGCATACAGCTCATGAAAACCCAAAAGTCCTATCACAAAAAATTAGCATATTTCATCCAACCAATAAAAGAAAAGTGTTTTAATACCAAAAAAAGTCAACCTTCAAATAATTATGTTCAGTTATGCTCTCAATACTTGGTCAGGAATCCTTTTGCAGAAATGACTGCTTCAATGCGGCGTGGCATGGAGGCAATCAGCCTGTGGCTCTGCTGAGGTGTTATGGAGGCCCAGGATGCTCCGATAGCGGCCTTAAGCTCATCCAGAGTTTTGGGTCTTGTGTCTCTCAACTTTCTCTTCACAATATCCCACAGATTCTCTATGGGGTTCAGGTCAGGAGAGTTGGCAGGCCAATTGAGCACAGTAACACCATGGTCAGTAATACCAGTGGTTTTGGCCCTGTGAGCAGGTGCCAGGTTGTGCTGAAAAATGAAATCTTCATCTCCATAAAACCTTTCAGCAGATGGAAGCATGAAGTGCTCCAAAATCTCCTGATGGCTAGCTGCATTGACCCTGCCCTTGATAAAACACAGTGGACCAACACCAGCAGCTGACATGGCAGCCCAGACCGTCACTGACTGTGGGTACTTGACACTGGACTTCTGGATTTTTGGCATTTCCTTCTCCCCAGTCTTCCTCCAGACTCTGGCACCTTGATTTCCGAATGACGTGCAAAATTTGCTTTCATCC